GTCGTTGGAACTGCAAGACCTTGGCCCTGTTTTTTTCCTGGAAAGTCTTGATCTCCAAGTATGTGGTTTGGAATTAGGCCTTCCCCCCTTTTTTTCGTTTAACGTCGAATGCGTTCCTGACGGGGTCGGTAAGTCGGATTGAAAAAAAAGAAAGCACAAGAAGTCTCGCAAGAGGAGGCCTGGTACCCCAGCATCATTGCTTTGGAGCAATATGGCGGAAAAGTTGGTTGACAATGTGGGAAAAAAGGATCAACCACCGAAACTCCTGTGCGATAATATACTGTAAAAAAATGTCCCTGTTTTTGTTCTTGTTTTTCCCTAGGCTGTTACTATGCTCATTTTTCAGATTAAAAGAATTATTTAAAAGTGAAAAATGATTTAACTACCTCGTTACATTTTTTTTGGAAAATGTCAAAAATTTGGATCGGTTGGACGACGCTAAACGAAAAAAAAAAAAGGATGCCTTAGGTTTAATAAAACAATTGAGCTAGCTCAGACTGCGCTTGAGATATAAACTACTTAAGGACAATATGTTTAGTTAAGAAATTTATTGTTTTTAAGTAATTCCACAGAGAAAAGTTGTCCACAGAGAAACTTTGCAAACGATTCATGTTTTCAATTTCCCATAAAGAACAGTTTTTAAGGTTAAAAGAGAGTGCGAGGGGAATTTTCACAACAGGCCCCAGTTTTTCAAAAGCTGGCCGGATAACGCTATCCACTGGATGGATAAATCACTATCCACTGGATAGTGCAATTGGTTTCCCTAACACTTATCCGCTGGATAGTGATTTATCTGCTGGATAGTGCTATCCAACGTTTGAACAACTGGAGCCAGGTCTATATCTTCTTCCTGACTCGGCCACGAACCTAAGTTTTTACTTCAAACAACCATTTTTTTTCTAACCTTTGCAAATCAGGTATTCCGCATTGGCCTTCCGTATATGTAATAACCTTCAAAAGCTCGTTTCTAAATCTCGCACTCAAACCACCCACCGTGAGTTGCCATTGTAAGGAGAGTAGCCTGGCACCTAGCCTCCCCTGCAGACATTTCTTAGGGGTGCGTCACGCGTTCCTTCCCCTACCTGGCACCAAGCCGAGCGTACATGGCTTCGCCCCAACACGCACTTCCGCTTTTGGTCGCTTCTTTAGAACTATTTACGGATGCAGGCATGATACAGACGGTAAGAAGTTTTAGTCTGTTGTCATTTTAATTTTATTCTTTTCTTGCCGGATATTTTGATTATCAGTTCAGTTTCTTTTTACTATTTGATCCGTCACAATTTGATTCTTGGCATTAGTTCGCATTTCAACCAACTAATGTAACTTTTGTAATTAAAGGAGTTTGAGAGTAATCACCTACCATTTATTCACGGTTCAACTAGTTCTTCTCTCGATTGGCATAATAATGCCCCACAGAAGTATGAATGTTTAATTTAAGTAAAAGAAGATCTGTGAGTGAAGCTCAACATCTACAGTGTATTGCACAGACTGTGTATTGCCATTTCAATTACCTTCTTTCAGTCGGATTGCTGACCCAACCAACTTTAACTGGCTACTTAAAGTGAATTTTTCTTGAAATTAAATGTTCGTGAACAGAGACGCTTTCCAGACGACTTTTAAAAGTCTCCAATAAATGTTAATAAAGCTTAGCTTTTGAACGCGAAATATCGACTAGTCACCTTAGCTGCGCATCGCTTGCCAGTTGATTTCGTGGCTTGGATCAGTAAAATAGAGAGTAGAGAGGATTAAATAGGCCAACTCCGGATACTGTAGTCTTTTATATTTATTCATAATTGTATCAGGTCGCAAGGGTCTTGGAAGAATATTATACTTGATTCGAAAGGGTGTGACATGCTATCGGATTTGCATCCATTCCGTGATTTGAATAAGATCAAAACGGCGGACTGCATACTTAGTATATAAAACACAGGTTATAAGAAACCACCACGAGCCAGGTATCAAACGCAGAATACGATAAAAACAGCCCTTGCCTTTTTTAGAACAGGTAGAGCTTTTTCTGGTCTCTTTAAAAAAACAGATTGTAACATAAACCGATGGAGACGTTTGCGTTCGTCACGAGATCTCTCGTCCAGACGTTAGGGAAAAATACGTGACGAAACCCCAAGAGCGTCTACGTGAAGGGCTGTGACCTCTACGGTAATACGGACTTCCCGCTCAGTTAAAATATAAAGAAAACTAAAAGGTTTGTTAAACAGGTGTGCTTTCCCTGACTCGTTTTGCCGAAACAAAAAGAAAAAAATTTAAAAGCGGCGGTCAGATCCTAGTGTATAACCTTACCGTCTTAGGCTTGTAGAGCTATAAAACGGGATTTTTGAATCAATGTGGCTACTCAAAAAATGGTAAAAAATAATTTGCATAGTTTTAAAAGCTACAGAGACTGACGTGTAAAACTACAAGCTAATTATTTTAGCAAATATTTCAATTATGTTTGCATTCCTTTTGCTAGTAACATGACCAGTTATTAAGTCTGAGAGAAAAAATGACGGCCGCTCCAGACCCAGAGGAAATCCTTCGTTCAACGAGAGGAAAGGAAAATTTCCAGCGCATTACACGACTTTTAATAAGTGGAGGGACCAGCCTGCTGAGGGAGACTTTTGACTCCATATGTCCTCCAAGTAATCTTCCTACGATTCTCAGCAATCCAGTAACAAAGAACCAGCTAAAAGCTGCAAAACTCACCATGCCACAGTGGCACTGTCTTTGTCCTTCGCCAGGGGTGTACGGCAAGTCAGCAGATTTTGATGTCACTCTGCTATTCCGTTTACTAAGGACAATATGCAACCTCACCCCTCCCTCCACAGGATGGGATGCACTACCACTTAGTGCAGATCACAGTTTAGCAGCTGATGTAACAAGAATGAAGTATTACCGAAACTCAGTCTATGGTCACGTGGGCCAAGGCATGGCAATCAGAGATAGTGAGTTTTTAACACTTTGGAAAGAAATCAGTGAAGCTCTTGTGAGGATTGCTGGGCAGATCAGTTCTACAAGGAAAACTGCATGGCAAGGAGCCATTGATAAATATTTGACAGATCCTCTTACGACTGAAGATGAACGAAATGTGCAAGAACTTAAGGCATGGTATAAAAATGATATAGAGATCAAGAATTCCATAGATGAAGTCAGTGAACGGATAAGTCGTTTGGAGGTAGGGTAAAAGTAAGCAATAAAAGACAAACAAAACAAAACCCAAATATTAATTGACATTTCTGTTGTAGAGAGAACTTTAAAGCTTCCAAATTCAATAGATTTGTGCTTTTTGATAAAGCTAAGGAGTTACTGGGTTATTTTTAACTCGTGGGTACGCGCGAGCGTACCACGAGTTATTGCAGGGACAGGGAATGCAAATGAGTCGCTCGGTCACTCGTAGTAGACGCACTTCGTAATTAATCGGGTCCGAACTCGAGAGCGCGAAGATCTATCGTTTCCAAAGAAGCACGCGCTCGCCGAAGTTCGGTGGCATCAAATTCCTCGCTGAGAGCGTGCATCGTGCGCTACAGCACGGTTAGAGGATAGAGGTCTTACCAAATTTAAGACACGTAGGAATCTTTCAGATTAGTACGATTCAAGAGCCTTTGACTCGTCCAGGCGTTAAACTTGACGAGAAGATGAGCATTTGCTCTTCGACTCCTTCAACTTCGAGGCTGGCTTGATCTCCTACCTTGTAGTAATGTAGTAGGTTATAATTATGTGTGTGAACGAATGTAAGGTAAATAAAGGCACTTCTTCTCCTTTTTAAGGACTCCCAAAGATCACGGGGGAAATGGAGGTGATTTTGAGCATTAGTTTTAAAATGACAGCGGAAATCGAGATAAGAAAACATAAGCTGATGTTTTGCTTCCTACTTCGTGGAGGAGTTGTGTCGGCTTTGTATCGCATATGTTCTTTCATTGCCATGAAATGCGTTTACATTGTTTTTTACCGTCAGTAGCCTGGTTTCAGTTAGCCTTAATTTCATCCGATTGCTTCGAGTCGTTTTTTCAATCGGTTAAGTATGGCTCGATAATTTGCCGGCGGAAGTTCCATGGAAAAGGCATTAAATTTGAGACTTTTCCACGTCACGCGATCATCCTCAACGGCATAGTGGCTATGTGGGGTCGAGTTAACCCGAAGGTTCTGGGTTCAAATTCTGCTATGATCGTTCTTTTTGCCTTCTTCCTTTTTTTTTTCTTTTTTGTTTTGTTTTGTTTGTTTATTTGTTTGCTGTTTTGTTGTTGTTTTTTTTGTTTTTAAATATATACCTAAATAACTGTTAATAAGTAACAATTATTCACCGAAGTGGAGGTGGCTAGTAGTGGGTATTTACCGAACGGCCGCGGTCGTCGTTTTTTCTTGGCGACAAATAAAACTTTTGAGGGCGTTTGTTTAGCTCTTGCGGGGACATTTCTTCAAAAGGAGTTGTGAATTCTTTTTGCATTTAAAATCGTTCTGTAAAAAAGATAATTAAATTTAGTTTTAAGCTTATTTATTGACAAGTCAACTGAATAAAGTAACGCAAGGCTTAAGCAAGCAAGGCTTAATTTGCATTCGTAAAGAAAAAACTTTTCCACCGGTTTTATCGATAAATTCAAGTCAAAAAGACAAAGCTTTACCTGTTAAAACTTCCAAACCGAACCTTGTCACCTTCTTCATGTATTTTGGGAATAGCTTGATTGATCAGTTGTGAAATTTCTTAGTTGAGGGTCTCAATGGGGTTAACCGATAGGCGTAAAACGGCCAACAATTTAGTCGATAGCCTTAAAAATTGACATATTTTAACTCTTAGCCGTAAATAGGGTAAAAAACAGTTAACCGTAAAAGAAATTGTTCCCTAGATTTGTTATTTTTAAGGAAGGTGATAAATTCACTTATAGTTGCGTCTTTTTATTCCCTGGCTACTTTTACTCCATACGCACGTTAGGCCAAGCTCCTTTTAGGTGTTCACCTAGACCTAGGCTCCATTGCCGCCGCTCACTCGAAGAACCAAGTTTCCATAGGGAAAATCTGGCTTCTTGCTGAGGATTAATATCTGTGATTTTAAGGAGGTCGTGCCCTCGATATTCTAGTGAAACAACACGCAGAGATGTCACTGTTTGTAAAACATGTTGCTGATAAACAACAATTCCCTGTTTTTCTCTGACGCTACGGTAGACATTGCCATGCCTAGTGCCTGTACGGCGTCTTCCCACGCAATCTCGGTCAAGGCATTTCGGTGGCATACCTGAGGAAAAAAAACTCGCTCGGACCACGTGACCCGGAATGCATTAGCCGTGCGGAATAATGAGGCCTGTGATACGGACAAGTCACGGCAGGCAGTCGTTCTGTACAGTCCTTTCTGTATCATTAAAAACACTGGACGCGGGAATATTGTTGTTGGCCATTTTCACACTAGAGCTAGAAAATGGATCATCCGTCAGACACTAGCCTGTGTCCAGTCGCCTAGCCTGCGAAAACATCCGTTTCTCCTCGCTCTTCGCCGCTGGGGACGTTTCGCGAGGAGGAACGTCTGCGACTCAGCGACAGAAATTCCATACTGATGACGTAAAATCTGTCCAGAATCCGGTCAGAAGCGCTGATTGGTCGACGGAGTAGTTACATTGTTTTAGCTATTGTTTACGAATGACAGACAAAAGACAAAAGGCCACAGAGGTCAAATGTAAACGCGAAGAATCTCTAGCAAAACAGTCAATTTTTGTAGAATATACTCTTCTCTAGGAGAAGTATTTGAGTTTTGCTGGACCTCCTTAGCAGATGAACACAAAAATTTACCAAAATCGACCAGATGACACGTAAAATTGTACAAATTTGTATTTGGAACCCCATGACCACCCGATTTATTATGCAAACATTGATTTGCGTCATCAGTATGGAATTTTTGCCACTAAGTCGCAGACGTTCCTCCGCGCGAAACGTCCCAAGCGACGAAGAGCGAGGAGAAACGGATGTTTTCGCAGGCTACCAGTCGCCCCCTCCCCCGCAAACACCCCTTTCCGTTTTTTTTTGTTCTGAAGGGAGGGGGCGGCTGTACACAGGCTATCTAGAACGGATAATCCATCTTCAAACTGTCCGTCAAAATTGGCGGATAAAGTCAGACAGTTTGTTCACTCAAAATTAAAACCGTTCCATTTTCAAATTAAGACGTATTACCTATCTGGCGCGAATTATCAAATGGATAACCCGTCTCACATGAATGATCTGTTTCTGTTGTGAAAACGGCCATTTCTGTTATAAATGAATTCGCGCCCCGGCCTTGAGTTGAGCGTTCGCGTGTCTGCTTTTGCTTTTTCACAAAGATTATTTTTATATTGACTGTTGACATTTCTATGCGTAAAATAATATTAGAAGTGGAATACTGTATGAAGCATGATCTATTAAATGTTGAAATGTTTCAAAAGAATAGCTTATTTCATCCCGAGATGATCCTAAGACTTTATTTTGCTTTAAAGTTAGAAAAAATACAGGTTTATTAATATTTAACTCCTTGAAACAAAAGGAATTAATTTTTAACTTTTTTGTTAACCGTAACTGAAAAAAATTTGCCGATAGCCGTAAATTAGCCGAAATTTTAGCCGATAACCGTAAAAGCCACCACCCCATTGAGACCCTCTTAGTTTGTTACGGCAGCAAACCGGGAAGGCATTTTGCTCGCAACTTACGCGAGTTTGGCGGCGCTCGCTGGGAGGAAGTGGAGGTGAATCAGTGAATAGTATTGTGTTTCCAGATTTATAATCTGAATTTCTATCGTTTCCTAAAATTTACTGTGGGAAAACCAGAGGTGATAACTAATTGATTATTTTCTAAACAACGTACCCACGAGTTGACGATAGTCTTTCTTTGATTAAGTTTACTGATTTAGTGCAACATTTATGTAAAGCATCTTCTATTTTGTCCCAGATATGGTGACTTATGACACTTTGAATTTTACACTCAGACAGCATTTCATGAAGGAACAGATTTGATGGAGGCAACAGTTTGTCAGGAAGCAAAAGAAATTAAAGATCAACTGGAAGAGATGAATCAGTCGATAGACACACTCGCCTCTTCAAGTGCTGCAACAAACCTGTTAGAAACAGCAGTTCGTCACGAGGCAAAAGAAATTAAAGATCAACTGGAAGAGATGAATCAGTCGATAGACACACTCGCCTCTTCAAGTGTTGCAACAAACCTGTTAGAAACAGCAGTTCGTCACGAGGCAAAAGAAATTAAAGATCAACTGGAAGAGATGAATCAGTCGATAGACACACTCGCCTCTTCAAGTGCTGCAAAACAGTCATCTAGGGGTGAGTTTCTTTAAACATTGCTTCTTTGCTCAGTGAACCGAGAGTTACCCAATTGTTGTCACCTCTATTAAGCGGCGACCATGCGCTTGATACACTTACTTTGCCTTTGTGTTAAGAATGAAAGAAAGTATAATCCGAGATAGACGGTGACGACCGATTGTGGGCCAATTTTGTTCCCCGTCACTCACGTGTTTGTTTTAAAATAAAGTGATGTTTCTTCTAAAGGTTATTTTATGACGAACTTCTATTGAGCCGCCAAACTTTAATTTTTCGGCCACATGTCGGTTCCCCCGAGGATAGCCGCTTAATGGAGGTTCAACTGCGGAATTAAAAAACAAATAAAGAGAACATGATCATGGCAGTGAAAGAAGCGAGTTTGCGAAAAAAAGCCTGAAAAATTAAGGCTTGCCGGGATTTGATTGGGGCTTGTCATTTTTTGTGGAGTGAAATGGAGAAACAGGTTACAATCACATTTGGTCGTTTATACCACCATTAAGGTGGCTCGATACTCTACAGTTTTTCAGGGTCAATACCTCCCAAGTTGGAGCATAAACTACGTCGCCATAAACAAAGATTTCGGGAAAAATTGCCACCACAATTGTATTAGATAAAGCACAGGGAGCCCACACAATCTGTTTGTGTAGCCGATTGTTATTTTATAGTAAATGTACTGGATTTACTGTTTGCTTCACCTACTAGTATAGCGATATATCGCTAACTATGTAAATCAATGATAAATAAACGTTGAATTACCGTACCTGTGGTATATAGTCGTCGTTTTACCTCAAAAGCGGTTTTTTGAGCGATTTTGAAGGAATTTGAATTCGCCGTCGACTGTTCCTTATAATAGAAGGAAGGGTCCTTCTATTAAAAGGAACAGTCAACGGCGAATTCAAATTCCTTCAAAATCGCTCAAAAAACCGCTTTTGAGGTAAAACGACGACTACATACCACAAATAAGGTAATTCAGCGTTTATTTATCATTGATTTATATACATAGTTAGCGACATATCGCTATAGGTGAGGCAAACGGTAAATTGAGAACATTTACTATAAAATAACAATCGGCTACACAAACAGATTGTGCGGGCTCCCTGTGGATAAAGATGAAAAAGTGTTATGACCAGGGTTGCAATGACACCGGAGTTGTCATAGCAAGGAAATGACGCCACCACCTATTTTACTTGCAGCAGTATTTCTCGGCACTGGGAATTCTTCTTCCGAAATCGTTCATGGGAGCTTTTTCCGCCTATAACCGCCTCGACGTTCATGAAGTTTAAGCGAAATCTGTAAGAGCGTTATCGAGATCTTTTGGGGTAAGGTTTTTTTGGTTAGAAATAAGGTACAAAATGGACAATCTTGATGTTCGGCTGTTATCTGTAAAAAAACGAAGCGCTTTTGACATACAATTTCACCTCATAGTAGTTTCAATCATTTTGCAAACGTGTGTGAAAAATCATTGAGGTAGCTCCAGCCGAAACTAGAAAGAAGGATTTGATAAGTATGTATCGAGGCTGTTAGTTTGTTAGTAATTTTGTAAACGTTTTGGTCTACACTTTAACAAATTAGCGAATAATTTTTAAACCGCGCGATAGATTTTTGTTAAAAATTTAAGATTCTTGAGATTAACCGTCCTTTTACATTACTTTTTAGTTTCAGATTATTGATGTATTCTAATGCAGTCAAATAACAGACTTTTTTTATGTCATTAGCTCTTCTTAGATTAAAGATTGACTGCGAGGCCATTTCTGGACCTGGTCTACAACAAGGAACTACGGTGATGATAGGGCAGCCACAGGAATCCCAAGGAGTAATCAAGCAAGGTGCAGTTGCACCGGTCACCTCAAGTCAGTCACAAGAGTCAAACACAACCGCTTCCCTAAGCGGAAATGTCACAAACGGTGCCATTCCTTCCCCACAGCAAATTCTGAGTTTAATTGCCTCAAAGTACCTTAACAACTTAAACCCATCAACACTGGAAGATTTTAATGGTTTCATAGAGTACATGGAAAAGGTACGAAAAGTAATGATTGTTGACTGCAGCCCAGGAAGCTTGATAATCACAGTGGAATGCAGTTCTTTGGAGATCCTTGAAGAACTTTGGCAAGACTATTGTACAGGTAATCTTGGTCGAGTGGTGCAGCAATACCTAGTAACGGAGGATCTTCTAAAAGAACTTGGACTAACGGAGGTAAAACTGATCATGACCATCGACGAAAAAGACTACAGAGATTGTCAAAAGTACTTAGCAGGGGGTAGGTATGATCTACATGATACACCCATGGGACACCCATGTTACGGTACAACCGAGTTTAAAACACACTTCAAACCTACTAATCTTTGGATCGAGAAATTTTGAATGAGAAGACGAATAGAAAGAGAAACAAACGAGTTTAGACAGAGAAAATGTAGCTTACATTTTTTAAATTTAATATCTAAAGACCAAACCACGAGAGAAGCCAATCAACAGAAAGTTGCTTAAAGGTGCAAAAAGAAGATAACCGAAATGGTGTTTTGTCAGGGCACGCGCCTAAAGGGATCTATAAGTGAATCAAATACATTTTTTATCTTTCTATCAACGGTTCATATTTTGTTGTGTATAAGTTAACTGAGGGAGCCCATTCCTCATAAGCCCGGTGGTTTCCCTTGGACTTTCTCGCCATTAGCTTTTAAATCTTTAGATATTTCTTGTTTTTATGTACATCCTTATGGCAAAACAATCAAAATGTAATCTATGTAGCTTGCATTTTCAAAGGACTAGGCCATGAGGTGAACGGAAAAGTTCATAAAAATGGAAAAGAAGATAACCGAACAAATTCACTGATTGGTCGAGCTCTTTCCTTTTAGAGTTTAGACAAAGGAAGTGCCCTTTTTTGTGTTTGCACCTGCACCTGCACCTATCCCGTAGTCAGGGCGCAACGGACCTAGCAACCCTTTCCCCCCATTTGATTTTGTTTTCAGCTTCTCTAAGGACGTCGCAAAACTTTAACCCAGTCCACTCAGGTTCTTTTTTCGGCCTCTTCTTCACCTCCTTGCACCGTTCCTTGTAAAATTGTCTTGGCAAGTCCTGCTGAACTTGGTAGACGCCCCAACCACTTTCACTCGCGTTTCTTTACCGTGGTTAAGATGTCATCATAGGGCCCGATCGATAGCTTGCTTGAATCTGTCTCTGCACAGTAATTTTTAAGGAGTTATTATAACTCCAAAATTGGAGTAAAAATTTTAGGTACAGGATAACCCCTTTTTGGGGGTTACTTTAACTCGTAATTTAACTCCAAATTTGGGGTCATTTTTACTCCTGAAAAAGAGTTCTTTTACTCCCAGTCTGGAGTCAAAATAACTCGAAAAAATGGGGTTATTTTACTCCTTGCATGGGTTGTTTTTACTCTTTTTGGAATTACTTTAACTCTGAAAGTGGAGTAAAAATTTTAGGTATAGCATAACTCCTTTTTAGGGGTTACTTTGACTCCTCAATATCTGGGGTCATTTTTACTCCTCAAAAAGAGTTCTTTAAACTCCTTTTTGGAGTTAAAATGACTCCCCAAAAAATAACTCCACTGTAAGGAGTTAAATTAACCCCACTAGAGAAGTTATTATAACTCCTTGAAAATTACTGTGTGACTGCATCGTTGATGATGTGGTCTCTGTATGATACGCCAAGCAGTTTCCCAAAGCATCACATCTCGATGGCCTTCAATTTCTTCAGGATGTCCGCTGTCAATGTCCAGGTTTTTAGGCGTACAACAGTACTGAAATAACCAGGGAGAGTATAAGTCTGATCTTTGAGCTTAAGGGGATATACCTTTCGTTCGAGATGGTCTTCAGTCTCGCTAGTGCTGCTTTTGTCTGTGTAATTCTGGACAGTACTTCAGGCTTGGAACCTTGATCTATGACGACTGCGCCCAGATACTTGAAGCCTTCAACCTCGTCCAATGTTTCACCGTTGATTCTAATGTAAATGCTGGTGCGATTAATGTAATTGGCAAAACGTAAGTTGGTATTTGTTCTGTTTTCGATTCTAACTGTTCCTTGGTGATCTTCTAGTGCGTCAGTCATAATTCTCTCCAGAAAGACGTTGAAAAGAGTCGGCGAGATTAAACACTCTTGTCTGACTTCGACTGTGGTTCTGAACCAGTCTCCTATGGCGCCATTAAGGTAGACTACACTAGTGGCCTTGTTGTTGAGGTTTTCAGTGGCTTGGATCAGGTTCGTATTAATATTATAAAGCCTTATAGTAGACCATTGGTCTTCAAAGACGTGATAGAGGTCTTGATGTTGCAGGTACTTCTCACACAGTATCGTAAGATTGAACATCTGTTCTGTGGTACTGCGTCCTGGTCTGAAGCCTACCTGTTCTTCGGCGACGATTGAGTCAGCCTGAGGCTTTAGCCCGTTTAACAGCACCTTCAGCATGACTATACTAAGCTGGCATACTAGGCTGATTGTGCGGTTGTTCTTGCACTGTTGAAGGTTACCTTTCTTGGGAAGTGAAGTGATAAGAGACTGGGTCTATGGTAGGGACCACTGTTCTGTCTGCCATACCTTATTGCAGATTTTATGCAAGGCGCTTATCACGGCATCTCCTCCTGTCTGAACCAGCTCCCCTGGAATATTGTTTATCCTTGAAGATTTTTCCTTCTTAAGCGATTTCACAGCTGGTTCGTCCTCTTCCTGCAATATTGGGTAGTTATCATTGTTATTTACTGGTGAGACAATCAGTACCTCTGGATCGAGCAGCAACTGCCTTTTCAACAAGCCTCGATACTACTTTTAAGTTCGAGATAGGACGAAAGTTTTGGAACTGTTCAAAGTCAGCATCAGATTTTTTCAATGTGGGCGATAATATAGCAACCTTCAGAGCATCGGGCACAACACCAGTCGATAAGGACAGATTGATGATCCTCGTAATAGTAGGAAGTAATACGGTAAGACAGCCATTCAAAACTACCTCAGGTAGAGGATCAAGTTCACAAGATTTAGATAGTGGTTTCCTTGAAAACTTTTTTATTTCCTCCAGGATAACCTGAGCAAAGTTACAGAACTCTGCACCACAAACTTTGACCTCAGGAGGGGAAGACCTAACGCGTAATTTCCTTTCAACAGGCCCATTATCAATCTTGCTGGTAAAGAAATCGGCAAATGAATTTGCCAGGGCAGTATCATCAGAAGAAGGAGGATAACGCTTTTTGGTTGATTTTTGCAATGACTTTCCAACAGTCTTGAACAATATCCTCTGATCTGATGAATGTTCATCAATGACGTCAGTGTAATATGTCGACTTTAGTGACTCAATCAAATTATTGACAACGTAGCACTGATGAACGTCTTGCTCACGATCACATAGTAACCTAGTCGAACGCCACTTTCGCTCTAACCGCCCTCGGATGTTTTTCTGTACAACCACTTCCGGCTTATACCAGGGAGCACTATAAGTCGTAATGTTACTGTTCGCCATTTTAAAGGGGCATAGAGATCCAAGAGGGATCGCAATACGTTGTCATATTGATCCACAAGAGCGTTGAGTTCAACAGCTTGATCCTGTAGCAAAGTAGAAGTCAAGATATCTTCACAAAAGCATTCATTATCCAAAGAACGCAGTTTCCGATAGTACAGCTTTTTCTTCGTGAAATGCGGTTTTTGTACACGCAGGCTACAATGAACCGTACAGTGATCTGAGATTACAGGGTCGAAAATCTTGATTTCAGTAACGAGAGGATTATCTTTTTTAGAAATTACAAGATCCAAAGTGTGTCCGTTAGCGTGAGTTGCTCCAGTGACGTGTTGTTTTAGGTTGCAAGATTCAAGAATTTCATTAAAGCGGTTTGCAGAGATGCTACAGGGGTCATCAACATGTAAATTGAAGTCACCAGATATAAGTAAGTGACCCGTGGACTCAGCCATAATTTGTTGCAGAAGCACTGAGAATTCTTCAAGAAATAGCACACATGAGGTGTTATCAGGAGGGCGGTAAATAAGCAGAACTCTAATGGATTGAAGACTTCTAAAGTGAATATCAATGAGTTCAAATGTCGTAAAGGTATCGGTGATGTGACTGTTTACTGGAGAGTGTCCTTAAATAACAAACCAACACCTCCACCTTGGGAATGACCCCTCGGAACATGTAAAAATCTACAGCCAGTTGGACATAGGGTTCTAATCTCAACATCATCAATGTTACCAGGACGCAGCCAAGTTTCAGTGAGAGCCAAAATATCAATGTCTTGATCAACCACGAGGTCTTTAACTTCCATTGCCTTGTTCTTAATGGATCTAACGTTAACAACACAAAACTGAACACAGCGACAGTCAATTTTGGGGGGAAGAATCGGTTGTAGTTACTGATATTAAATTATTCAAGTTTACACCACGAAGTGGCAATGGCCCTTGGAGATAACCAAAATTAGCATAATCACGTTGAGTTGTTCTAGAAAATATATTTAAATAATTTTCTCGGGTCTTCTTTCCACCTTTTCCTCCTATATACCTCAGAACACCATGTGATTTTAGTTCGCCCAGAGCTTGAGGACAAGGAGTACAAGCACTCGATCGTAGGCTTCGGAGAAATTTCCTAGAGTATTTCATAGTCAACGAAGGCGAATTATACAGGGGCACCCAACGGCAATTTTCGGGAAAATATCTGTTCGGAAGACGATTTGAGAACTAGAATTTTCGGAACATTTGTTGTAAAATTTCTTGCTTGCCTGCCTCTCCTAGGATTTTCGAACATCTACAAAATGGTATAATTACCCATTTTAAACGGATATTTACCCTAAAAAAGGCCACCTAGAATTTTCGGGAGCCTTTTCCTGGCTGAAATTTTCTAAAAGGTAAGTTTTGATCCCTATAATTTTCGGATCACTAGACTTTCAGCTAGGAAATCCGAACAGATGAAAAGTTTTTAGGGGATAAAAATATGCCTATATCTACCGTTTAAATACTAAAATACGTTCAGCAATGCTATGTTAAGTGGTTTTGAACTATATCCTCGTTGGGTGCCCCTGATTATATAGTATGCGAGTGGCGGCCAACAACTTGTGAAGTGGAAAACCGATCGTGCAGAAGCCGACCACCAGTTAAGTCGGGGCCAGGATTCAAGGAAACGTCCATAAATATCGTAATGTCTTGAGGAGGATCATGACCAGGCACGAGCAAACTAGTGTAACCGCGTACATTTGTATTGGGAATAGCATGATTTGTAGTGATATTTGGCATAACAAGTGATATTTCAAAATTGTTACATGTAATTTCACGAGCTGATAGGTGAGGGAAATTTGAGACAATTTTGAAATATCACGAGTGGTACTTATGCCAAATATCTCGCACAAATCATACTATTATTTGTTTACTCTACTACCCGCAAAAGGTTTGTAATTTTCACATGTAGGTTTTTCAGATTAAGCTGAAATACCACTACTCTAAGCCAATCAAATTGCAGAAATTTCTCATGTAGTAGTGTAAGATGTCATTTTGTGAAATTTGGCATTCGTTTTCTTGGGCTCCCGTGTGAAATTTTCTTTGGTGTTATTACAGATAACTAATTACAACTATAGCCCTTGAAAAATGTAAAAAAGAATGCGATATTGTTTAAATTATTTTGGTACAAGATTTTTGTCCACTGAAAATAAAATTTCTCAATTTCCTGATGGATTCCGTCTTAATTACTTTAAAATCTCAACTTGAGACTTTAGAGACTTTAGAAGAGCTTTACTTCTTACATACATCTACACTGTACAGTCGAATCTCCATTTGCGACCACCTCTCGTTAGCGACCATCTCCCATAAGCGACCACCAATTCAAAACACCAAAATTTTGGGGCGATCTGCACCTATACCGTATATTGTCTAGAGGTGGTTTCCAAACCTTTCGAGCCCGAAAAGCGGCTTTATGTTTACCGTTTTGGCATTCAGGATCAAATTGAAAATGATACAATGAAAGTATCAGTTGACGGTTGTGAGCAGGAAACTTTCATGGTACTATTCAATAGGTTTTGAATTTAAAATTCGCTGACGGGCCCGAAAAGTTACCGGGCATTTCGGAAAAAGGGGCCCCTGGGACCTGTTTCTCGGAAGTCCCGGTAACTTTTCGGGCCCGGAGAGCTGTTTTGTGTTTGCCGTTTACCTTTAAGATCAAAGTTTCAATAATCTTGAAAATGATACAATGAAACTATTAGTTAACGAAGCAAAATTGACAGGTTTGTGAGCTAGGAACTGTGCTGCTATTCAACAGGTTTTAATTTTAAAATTTGCCTTCGGGCCCGAAAAGTTACCGAGCCTTTCGAAAAACGGGGCCCTAGGCCCCTTTTTGGAAAGTCCCCGTAACTTGCCCCGTACTTACTTTAAGGGAGGTCTCCGCCTCCCGTAAGGTTACCGGGGAATCAGAAACTAACAAAATGGCTGCTGAACGCAAGCTGTGGAAGGAGACCAGGGGCCCGTTTCTCGAAAGTGCCGATAATTAACAGGCCCGTAAAGCTGTAGTTGTTTTCATGCAAGATAGAGGTTTCAATAGTTTTGCATCTAGCATGATAAAACTATGAGTTAAGGAAACAAAATGGAGCAGTTTGTTAACCAGGACCCGCGCTCTTATTTTTTTATATTTCGATTTGAAAATTTGATTTCGGGCCCGAAACGTTACCGGGATTTTCGAGAAACGGGCTCCAGCACAGTCTTTCCAAAAACGACTGATTGTTGCCGACATCCCCGATTCCAAAATCTCAGGGCGAAACAGTCGAATATTAGAGATCTATTTATTTTTACAAAGTTTATCAAAATGTGCGTTGAAAAGGTACGAAAATCCAGACGTTTCGAGGGTGCTCCCTCTTCCTCAGTGGTTTTGGTTCGTATTAGGGATCTGCCGATCGGAAATCGGCGACGGTAGTGAAAAACGTCAATGAAAGCCCAACTTCGCCTCCTTTCAAATGTTTTGAATCGTGATTCTTTACAACTCGCTCAGTCTGGGAAATTAAGCTAGAGCTGAAGAGAGAGGACCGCCTTAAACCCTAGAACCGCTTAGTAAAATCAAATCGCCCTGCCGTTCAGGTTCTCAAGAGTTTATAACATTTGGTCATTTCACGTCGTAGTTGTGAAGGGACAGCAAAGAAATTGAAAGAAAAGCTTGATGCACATGCCGAGTTGCTGTTTTGCTTATTAAACCTATTGAGATTTTAAGCGTTTTAGTTGCCTTCGCCATCAGAGTTTTGTAAGGTCCCTATCAAGCAGCCATGACGTCGACGCCAGCGCAAACATCACGAACAAGTCGAGTTCGTGCTTTTTCGAACTTCATCGTCAAGTTAAATTCAGGCCTTATTTTATAAACTGTAAAAGCGTAATTTGGGTCTTCAACTGCGATGATCTCCATTTTTCAAAAAACAAACCGATGAATTACATGCCTTACTTTTCTTGTAACACACGTTTTAAAATTATTATTATTTTTAATTCTGTAAGTTACTTGTTATCATTTCTGTACCTCCTACTCCCATTACATCAACTTGTTTACACGTCACAGGTTTCGTATTTAAAGGGCTAACTTTACTTATAAAGATGTCATTTTATTAAACAATTGGTCAGTAAATTTACTTTGGAAGTAAGAAGTATATTTTCTTATGACAAAAGTGCAACTTACAATCTTACAAATTTAGCAAATTATGATGTCAACGAATTGATTTTTTCAGAACAAAAAGCTGCTTTTTTGTAAAAGACGCAAAAATCGGCAAATGTAAAGAATAAATTTCTAAACTGATTAAGGGAAAGGGAAAAAGGTAAATAAGTTATTTCTGCTCCTCTGCTGTGCTCTTGTGGTTTGTCCAAAAAATTAGATCTTGAACCAATATGGAACAGTCAAAAAGCAATGTTCCATTGTCTCTAAACGCTGAGAGGAATGCCTATTGCATGCATTCTAAAGGTTAGTTTCTTTTCTTTTAGCTAATAGTTAGCATGCAGTGAAAATGAACAGTGCCGATAACAAAAGTTTACGTTTAGTATATTCCCTTTTTAAATCTTTTGACGTTTGCTTTTAATCTTCATAGGTTTCCATGCAACTGTGCCGGAACCATTTGTGTCAAGCAAGCCAGGAGAGGCCTCTAATTTGCCACTTCCATTGTCGAAGGTTAATTCAATCCCGGGTGATGCAAGCATGTTTCCTCACAGCGATTGGTATGTGCAGGTTTCGCTCTTGGAAATTTTTGTACAAGTCATGCACCAGGAGATCATCACGTTAGAAGTAGATTCTAGTGATACTATCGGAAGTTTGAAGGAGAAAATCAAAGACAAGAAAGGCTTTCCAGCTGAAGAGCAACTTCTCTTCTTTCAAAGAGAAGAATTGAAAGACGACCGAACAGTCAGTGACTACAACATTCAGAATAAATCAACCGTGATCTTATCACTCCAAATATATCGTTTGGAAGTTACTATCCTTTCGGAGGGCACGAGACTAGTTACCCTTGAAGTGAACCCGACTGATTCCATCTTAGAGCTCAAACGGGAAATACAAAACATTACAGGTGTTCCGCCAAAAGAGCAAAGTCTCCGCTTTGATGGCATAGAACTAAAAAATGAACGCACTATTTTTGAGTACAATATCCAGAACAAGTCATACATTAATTTGGTTGCACAAATGATAAAAGTTTATGTGTTGAACCCGTTAACTCAAGAAAGGATAACATTGGTACAGAAGCCAAGGGATACTATCGGAAGTGTCAAGGACAATATTTATGCCCAAACTAAAATTTCATCGGACCGGCAAGTTTTGCAATTCAATGGTAGAGAACTCGATGACGGCAATACTTTGAAGTGCTACAACATTCAGAGCGAATCCCAGCTGTTCTTATATGAAGGGATCAAAATCTTTGTTGAGATGTTGAATGGAACAGCGGTGACGTTAAAGCTCTGTAAAAGCAACACTATCGAGGATGTAAAGGTGAGACTTAATCTCAGGGAAGACATCCCATGGAATATGCAACGACTCTCTTTTCGTGGCAAGCCTCTCAGAGGTAATGACACTTTGAGCGACTTAAACATTCAAAACGAATCAATCTTGCGCTACATTGTTATGATAAGAATTCATGTCAAGATGCCCAATGGATATGAGATCAGTGCAGATGTCAATCTAGATGACAAGATCAGAAATGTAAGGAACAGAATTCAATCTAAAGGAGGGATCCCACCTAATCAGCATTGTTTTCTCATGTATAATGAAGAAAAACTCGTCGACACATGTACTTTGAGGCACTACAAACTTAGGAATGGATCAATCCTGAGTTTAGTTAAATCGAGAGGTACGTCAATTTTCATGTTTTACGTTTGTTTAAATATATCAAACATGTGACAGTGTTTCAACCCAAGGTCAAACATCGAGTAAAAAACTGAAGATACGACGCCGCGCAGCTGAGTATTTTTGACGATCGAACTTTGAGGCCTGTGTTTGATATTGTGACTATGAAACACTGCAAATGTGTTGAATTTTGATATTATGAAACTGCAAAAAGGTTTTAGAAAGAGACAGTTAGGATGCGAAAGTGAGAGTTCTTCATCTGAATTCTAAAATTAAACACCCCTCTGAAACAGACCCAGTGGAATTTATATATCTTCACTGGGTTCCCAAAGAGAACTTTACTGGGTTGGTTTATTTTCCACTGGGTATTTCTTCTTAGTTGTGTACTTCCCATAAAAGCGGAAAGGGGTGGCAGGCGTTACATCTTTACCTGAACCACTACCAACTTTGAACCACTTTTATTTTGTTGTAGCGAGAAGAATTAATCGATTAACACTTTTATGCGAGATTGATTACCTATACCCTCCGTGTTTTGTTTTTGTCATTGGTAATAAAGTTTTATATTTTTGCTTCTTTCGAACAAATATGAACAACGAAATACACTGGTCTCGTAGAATCTGTAGAAGTCGTGAAAGAAAATTCAAAGTGACCGGGGAAGCAAAAAATCAGCTGGGTAGAAACAAACTATTTGCCGGGCATCGGGAAGGCCAAGTTATCACTAAGTCAACTGAATTATACCACTGGGTAGGGTTCACTGGGTTTGTTACATAGGGGTGTTCACTTATTGAACTTCCATGCCACTTAGTTTTTCTTTATTGCCCCCGCAGGGATTTCGCCCAGAAGGCGAAATCCCGAGGAGGCACTTTAGTAACTCGCGCCTATATTAAGGAAAGTACTTACACTTGAAATATACAGTCATACAGTCAAGATAGAAAAAAATCTCGATTTGCTTGAACAAGGGCCGCGAGGAATCAGTAGGTAATGATGACGTTTCTATTGTTTGCGCCCTCAAGTACGAAATGGTTAGGATGACGTAAAACACAAAAAATCCCGAAGGAACAGCTTACAATAGGTAGATTTTCTTACATCAATTGTGCAGTAACACTTCGATACTCTTTTGCGCTACGTGTTATCAGTGACATTCTGTGGAGCAGTTGTTATGAAAGTTATGGACCAAAAGACACTCGTTAAGCGCAGATGAAGTTATAAGGTGCGTAGAACAGTGTATATTTTACCACTAAGTGAGTTTGCCAGACACAGTTCACAAATCTTTCATTGGAAACCTTCAGCTGAACCTTGTCAGACACTCTTTCTCTGTCTTTGACCGGAATAACACTCGGCCCAAAACAAGCAAGACGAGCGAATGATTCAACGGCTAGCTTATCACTAGCAGAACGATGGAAGATTACAGAAATTCGCCGACCATCAAATTCTGTGCTGACTTATTCCCTGCTCACAGATGTCCTTCCGCTATAAAGTTTAAAATAAGACTAGAATGCGCGAGCGTGAATTGATCAAACGTCCTTTTAATTTCTAAGGCTTACTTTCCGGCAAATGAAATGAACTAAATGTAAAAAGTGAAATAGAAATAGCGAAAAATTAAACTTCTGATTAAATCTTTTCTTATGGTTTAGAATAACCTATTCTTGAAACTGAGAATGATTATGTTTTGATCAAAGTTGTGTAAATCGAACCGAAACTGCGCATGGAGCCTTGCGTTTATTTCCTGTATTTATCTCACCTATTGTATGGAATATGTGTGAACATCTTCATTATGAATCGGTATATTTCAAAGAGCTACGCAAGGAGCAAGAATACGATATACAGAGCGGGTGTCAACTATTACTAGTTAATTATTAGTTAGTTTGAGAAGTCGTTTTCTTATGTTTCCTAATTCTATCGTGATGAATATATGAAAATCATATATGAGAACTGCGGGGTTAAGAATTATATGAAAGAAGATTATCGCAGTTACAGACGCCACTTTTGCAGTTGCGAAAAGAAGGCGTAAAGGTTAATTTTTTTCAGGCTTTCTTTTCGCAACAACAAAAGTGGCGTCTTTTACTGCGGTGATCTTCTGTCATTTAATAAGCCTGCCTTGTTTAAAATAGTACTGTATAGAACAAAAGGAAAGGTGTACAAACATATATTTTAATCATTAACTACAATACAAGTATGATACAACTACATAATAAATTATTGTGAAAGGTTTGAACCCAGGAGTCATTTCAAAAGTAGGTTGAGTTTGATCGTCCGGGTAAACGTAGTCCTGAACTGATAGGACTGTTGTTGTTGACAGTGACTGACGTTTCGACAACCTGTGCGGTAGTCATCTTCAGAGTCAAAGTGAGTTGTATCACGTCAGTTGATGGTATTATACTCTGGTTATTGATCTGATTAGTCAATTACGTCGCGATGTTATTGGTCATCCGTCAGTTAAGCCGTGATGTTATTGGCTATGAAGACTCTTAATCAGTAATTGGTGCGTTTCGATCCGTCTATTGTCACAGTTAAAACAGTCGTCTAGTTAGTTTTGCTTGATCTCGTCAATGAGTTGTTTGTACGGCGCTGGTAACTCTTGATTACGATTCAGTGGCGTTTGTTTTAAGTTAGTAAACCAGCTTTCTAAAGTAAAACGTTGATAGTAGTCTGTAGAATACGTTATACATGTCGCAGAGTCCCAGTCAATTTGATGTTTCGTCTGTAAATGGTGCTCAGCAATGTGATTGTTGACGTCACCATTCCTCGTCGCTCGTTTGTGTTCGGTCAGTCGCGTGCTTAGGTTTCTGCCGGTTTCACCAATGTAAGAAGCCTGGCAGTCGCAGCATTTGATGTTGCATACTGCTCCCTGTCTGTCCTCGGGTTTGTCTCTGTCCTTGACATTACTAAGCAGTCGTCGTAAAGTGGTTATCGGTTTGTGTGCAACACGTATATTGTAAGGTTGTAATATACGTGCAGTAGTTTCAGAGGTGCCTCTGATGTACGGTATAGTCGCTGTCATAACAGGGCCAGAGTTGGTCTGAGTGTTGGAATCAGTGTTCCGTCTAACAAAGTCCGTGTTGTAATTGTTCTTACTGAAAACGTTGTCAAGATAATCAATCTCGTCTTGTAGGCTGTCAGGTGAGTCGCAAACTAGTTGCGGTCGTCTCCTCAGAGTCCGGATAGTAGTAGCCTTGTGAGAGGTCTAGTAATCGGTCGGTATGTGTCGGTTTTCTGTAAATAGTCGTTTTTAGTATGTTGTTGTCGCGAGTGACCAAGCAGTCTAGAAAAGGTATGATACCATTTTCTTCGATCTCCTTGGTGAACTGCATGTCCGCGTTCTGTCTGTTAAGGTGTTCGTGAAAATCGTCGATTCCTTCTTTGTGTACGGCGGTGAATGTGTCGTCAACGTAACGTAACCAAAGAGGTATAGTTCGCGTGTAGGTAGGAAGGGCTTGTTCCTCGATGTTTTGCATGACAATTTCTGCTACAACAACAGAAATTGGAGAGCCCATAGCTGTACCTTGTCGCATGGTTTCCGCCACACTCATCCGGATAAATTTGAAAAAGCATCTTTTTTTCACCGGTTTTGGCCAACACGTATAAAAATTTTTCTGTCCACACTATTCCGGACGAAATTAGAAAATGCAACGCTGCCAGAGAAATCATACAAGATAATAGTGACGTCAGCGGTTTCGAAATGTTTCGTTTTCAAAATGTTCTCCGTGGTTGTATTCGTTTAAAGTTTTGCGGCTGAAGCAACGAGCTTTAACAAAGTGACCAAAAGGGAAAAAACATAACAGGAAAATTGTTACCTTTTGTTATTTTTATTTTCTTTATTTTACCTATTTTTCATTCAA